TGGCTGCTGGCCGCTCACGCTGGCTGCTGGCTACACATGGTAGCTGCTGGCTACACCCGGTAGCCCATGGCAACCCACTGCCACAGGGGCTGCAGCCTAAGCCGTCGCCGGCGACTCACGGGCAGCCCAGCTCCAGGTTGAGCTGTTGTTCAGCATCTTAGCTGTGGAGGGCAGTGTCACTGGCCTTCCTATGTGGGATCCGAACCAGGGCCCTTTGGCATCCCAAGCCAGTTCTTAACCATCGCGCCACTTGTCCAGCCCAAACTTTATGTATTAATTAAGAAAAAGTATGTTATTTCTTTGGCAATAAATAAATAAATAAATAAATTAATTAATTAATAGGAGGTAATACGAAGTAGTTTTTTTTTTCTCTTTAAAATCGTACAAATATTTTTAGTAGTTAATCTACATAAATTCACCATAGTTTTGTTTGTTGGGACCTCTAAATTTAATGATATACAATGAAAGCTAGGATGATTACCTTAAAAACTTGTGAGTAAATTTTTTTTATTATTGAGATACAATTAACATATAGCATTGTATTACTTTAAGTATACAGCATAATGATTTGATATATATGTATGAGGTATGATCAAACAATATAGTAAATGTTTAAGTTTAAAAAATTTATTACAGTAAAAGATACATTGCCATTTACCCCCCTCAAAAATACTCCCCCCTTGCTTTGAACAGACTTATCCCATCATTCTTGCCATTTCTTTCTTTCTTTTTTTTTAAGATTTTATTGGGGAACTGGAGGAGGGGAACAGTGTTGGGGAATCAGGGAAGGGGAACAGACAAGTTGTTGTCATTTTTGTTCTTTAGTCTGGTTGTGGAGGACGTGACTTCACTGGCCCATGTTGGTATGATCATTGCGCTCTTCCCGGGTGAGGCAGTTGCTTGCCGGCCATTGGATGGCTGCTCATGGCGGCTTACGAAATTCATGCCAGCTGCTGGCCAACCCCACTGCAGCCTACACCATCACTGGTGGTGACTCACGGCAGTCCAGCTCCAGGTCGAGCTGTTGTTCACTATCTTAGCTGTAGAGGGCGCAGCATCACTGGCCTGCATGTGGGATCCGAACTGGGGACCCGCTGCTCAGAGCTGGCGTCCCAAGCCAACTCTTAACCAACGTGCCACTTGGCCGGCCCCATTCTTGCCATTTCTGAAGCAGTTCTGGAAGTTCTCTTTCGTGTGTGTTTTTAGTTGCACTGTCATGGCTTCCTGGATATCCTGAATCATTTTGACTTTGGGAAACAGCCAGAAGTCGCACTGTGCCAGATCCAGTGAATAAGGTGGTTGAGGACACACCGTAATGTTTTTATTTGACAGAAATTGCAGTATCAGAAGCGATGTGTGTCATGGAGTATTGTCATGATGGAGGATGATATATGACACACTTTAAAACACATCTTCTCTCAACCGTAGCTCACACCCAACTGACTGCACCAAACAAGTTGAAACTTGTCACACACTGTTACTAAGGTTTATCACGCTGCTTCCCATATTGAAGATCCCTGCCTTATTGTTGGATGGCACTCAGCAGCATCATTCACTGTATTTTGTGATCACAATGGAAAGGCTCTGTGTCACACATCACTTCTGGTATGGCAGTTTCTGTCAAATAAAAACATTAGAGTGTGTCCTCATCCACCTTATTCACCAGATCTGGTACTGTGCGACTTCTGGCTCTTTCCCAAAGTCAAAATAATTATGAATCGATTCAGGACATTGAGGCAGCCACGACAGCACAAATAAAGACACTCATGAAAGAGGAATTCAGAACTGCTTCGGAAAGTGGCAAGGGCTATGGGATAAGTGTGTTCGAAGCGAAGGGGAATATTTTGAGGGAGATTAATGGCAATGTGTCTTTTACTGTAATAATTTTTTTTATTTAAGCATTCACCATATATTTTGATCACACCTTGTATATTGTGAAATTATTACCATAAGTTTAATTAATATCCATCACCTCACATAGTTATAAATTTTTTGTGTGTTACTCTCTTAGCAACTTTCAAATATACAATATCGTATTATTAACTAAGTCAGCATGCATGCTGTACAATACATTCCCAGAACTTATTTATTTTGTAACTGGAAGTTTGTACCTTTTGATTACCTTTACCCATTTACCCCCTGCCTCTGGCAACCATTGATCTGGCCTCTGTACCTATGAATTGGGTTGTTTTAGTTTTAGATTCCACATATAAGTGAGATTGGTATTAATCTCATAATATTTAGCAATATTAATTATTTTAATCCATGAGCACAGAATATCTTTGTAATTATTTATGTCTCCTCCAGTTTCTTGCATTCAATGTCTTAAAGTTTTCAGTGTGCAGGTATTTCATCTCCTTGGTTAAATGTTTTCCTAGGTATTTTATTCTTTTGATGTAAATGAGATTGTTTTCTTAATTTCTCTTTCTGATAGTTCCTTATAAGTGTATAGAAATGCAACTTATTTTTGTATATTGATTTTGTATTCTGCAATTTTACTGAATTTATTAGGTCTAACAGGTTTTTTGGTGGAGTCTTCAGAGTTTTTCTGTATATAATATCATGTAATCTGCAAATAGAAGCAGTTCTACATCTTTTTTTATGATTTGGATGCCTTTTTTTTTCCTTTTTCTGCCTAATTGCTCTGGCTAGGACTTCCAGTACTATGTTGAATAAAAGTGGCAAGAGTAAGCACCCTTATCTTCTTGATCTTAGAGATCAAGCTTTCAGTTTTTCACCATTGAGCATGTTAGCTGTGGGATTGTCATATGTGACCTTGATTATG